CAAGGTCAAGGTTTTCTTTATTGTCATTCACATCTCATGTGGTACATGTGGTGGAACAAAATTGTGTCCACTGGGTCCCAGTTACATCCAACAAAAATGTAAATTGTAAAAGAAAAACAGTAATATGAGCTAGGATATGAACAAAGAAATACGCTAACCTAAGAATACCCTAAACACTTAACAGTACAAAAAGAATAAACTATATGACATAGCAGCATCAGTAGAGCTCCTGACCTTCCTGTGTTTGAGGGAGACCTTCTTGGCAGTGATTCGGCCTCTGCGAGCCTCCAGCTGCCTCATCCTCTGCTGTAGGACACTTACTTCCTCCTCTCCAAGAGGCGAAGGCAGCGCCACAAAGTCTTTGCCCACCTTCATGGCATCAGGGCTCTCAAAGGTGTCGTAGTACACGACCTCCTCCTGCCGCTCTGCTGGATCATCACAGATGCTGGTGAAGATTCTCAGTCATCCAGGACATGATGAATTCAAAAAGCGTTCAATACAAAAACAACTGGACTTTATTTGTAACAGAAGACGTTTCTCTCCTCATCCGAGGAGCTTTCTCAATTCAAAGAGCAGAGAGTGAGAGATTCAGGTTATAAGGCTGAGTGAGATAAGACACACACACATATGTAGATTTGACAAGTCACACCTCCACACCTTAACAGTAGGATGTTTCTAAAGTCTTTTGTTCCTCTAATTCACAGATGAGGCCCCTCTGTTCCCATCAAGTGTGAAAACTGTCTGGGAATCTGTTTTAAAGTTGCATTATAGGTTTTAGAAAGTGGAAATCTGAGGCCTCCTCCTCTGTTAAGAGACGGCTTTTCTCTTTTTACATAAATTGCCATCAGAAAACAACTTCTACAAGACAAGGACTTAATCAACAGGACCAACTTCACCCCAGACCAGATCTGCACCCTGTTGGACCTCTGTCTCTCCACCACTTATTTCAAGTTCAATGACAGTTTTTACAGACAGAAGCACGGCTGTGCCATGGGATCTCCAGTGTCACCCATTGTTGCCAATCTCTACATGGAGGAAGTGGAACAGAGAGCCCTACACTCCTATGAGGGAACAACGCCAAGCCATTGGTTCCATTATGTGGATGACACCTGGGTCAAAATCCAAACCAAGGAAGTAGAAGCGTTCACCAGACACATTAACTCGGTCGATAACAACATCAAGTTCACCAGAGAGGATGCAAACGACAACGAGCTGCCTTTTTTGGACTGTTTGGTTCAGATGGAGAGAGAGGACAGCCTCAACATTGAAGTGTACAGGAAACCAACCCACACAGACCAGTATCTTCTGTTTGACTCCCACCATCCACTGGAACACAAACTCTCTGTCATCAGAACTTTACAACATCGGGCCGAATGCGTCCCCACGAAGACAGAAGGGAAGGAAAAGGAAGTGAAACACATTCAAGAAGCTCTTCAAACATGTGGATATCCTAACTGGGCTTTTGTCAAGTCAGAGAGGAAATCTACAAAACACACCAATAAACAGAAAAAGGAGAAGAACAGACGTAAAAACATTGTCATCCCTTATGTTGCTGGAGTATCAGAGAAATTCAGAAGGATCTTCAACAAACACAAGATCCCAGTACATTTCAAACCCAGCAGGACTCTCAGACAGAGGCTGGTCCACCCTAAAGACAAGACACCCATACACAAACAGAGTGGTGTAGTGTATGTGGTCCAGTGTAGCGAGGACTGTCCAGACCTCTACATTGGAGAAACTAAACAGCCTCTTCACAGACGCATGGCTCAACACAGGAGAGCCACCTCCTCTGGACAAGATTCATCTGTTCACCTCCACCTCACAGATAAGGGACACTCTTTGAGGACCAAAATGTGCACATTTTGGACCGAGAACACAGATGGTTTGAGAGGGGGGTGAAGGAAGCAATTTATGTAAAAAGAGAAAAGC